CACTCGTGGTCATGAAAGGGTTAACTGTGTTACATCAGGTAACTTAATACACGAATACAATATTCTATGATCATGAGTGGTAAGGCTCATCTAATTATATCAAAAACAATAATCCTATTTGTTTTTCCAGACCTACTTTCTAATCAACTACATCTTTCAGAAATATGTTTCACTGCTAAAAACTTAGAGAAACAAAAGTAACACACAAGCTAAACTAATCAAAAACACAAAATGGCAAACACTAAATTATTTTTCTCATTGGTCAGAAAGTTGGAGAAGGGCCCTTATCTTCAAATATTCTAGAACTAGGCCTACTTGCTCATCATAGCAGAGTGGTCAATACAGAATGACAATCTTCCAACTTCACAGCAAAGTCTCACTTAGGTAGGAAAAAAGGTGAGGAAAGCTAAGGACAAGGTAGACCCTGAAACAAAACAGAATTCCTAAAGGCAGGAATTTGTGGAGCAGAGCAAATTATTTTCAGAGGTATTATGTCTGTGAATAACAGTGATATGTTATGGCCATGGGTTCAGCAAAAGTGTTTAATTTGGGATCAGGTCACTATCTCCTGTTACCTCTACACAGTGTAGTCAATTTGTGTGATTTATGACAGCCTTGCTTTATAGATAGAGAATGACAACCATGGAGGGACATGCAAACGCTCAGTGTGAAAAATTCAAAAAATAACCTGAGGAAACCATGAAAGCAAATACATATTGCAGGCATTTTTTTTCCTTTTTCTGTTTAGAAAGAATTTTGATCAAAATTTAAAACAGGCCATGCTAAATGCTTGCTTTATGTTTTACATGAAAACCCAGCTGCAACCTGGGACCAATTGTCTTATGCTCTGGTAAATGGGGAAGGCGAATGCAAAAAGGGTTTGGAGGTGGACATAAAGTCATATTAATAAGTAATCTCTCAAGTTAGCAGCTTAAACGCTGTCTACAAACTAATACAGTCACAGTTTAGATATCATGCATTAATATAACTTAACTAATGGATCTCAAAAAAAGATCTAGATAAACAGTCCCATCAAGCAGCTTATTTATGAAAGAAAGGAATATATTTTCATTTCCCGATCTCTGGATCCCTACCACCAATCAAAGAAATATGTAACCACATCCGAATGTGTTTGTGTATATGAGAATGGACAAGTGTCTCAACAGCCTTGTGCAGAAAGACCCAGGGCATTCATTGCCTTTCCACAGCATGCTTCTCCTGAGGAGCAGGTGCCACCCACCCCACCCTTTACCTGCATTAAACATCAATGAGGTTTTCTCAAAAAAAAAAAAAAAAAAGGTAAAATGGGGCTTCGCTGGGTTCTGGAAAAATGAAATATGACACTCATATTGGCAATTTTAGCTGCCAGGCAAAGAGAAGGGATAAAAGGAGGGACCAATGACATATTCTGTGCCTCAATGACACCTGCTGACCTTGACACATGTTCTGCTCACTTTGCTTAAGGGGCTGACAGAATGAGCAGTCAGAGTAATGCACTTTCCCATCAGCAGAACTACCTGCCCTTAGCATGAGGGTAGAAAAAATGAGTCCAGGAGTCTTGGCAGACAATGGCCAAAGGTGTCAAGATTTCTCAGATGTGAATAATGTAAATAACAAATAAGCTATAAATGCAGAAAGTGGGATGAGCCAGTCCACCCTTGTGTTTCTGTACATGACACACAAAGCATAGCAAATTTGACTACTCTCAAAAGTCACTCAGAACATGAAATAGTCATATGACAAGCTTCCACAGTAAGCATGTATCCACCTGCTGAGAACCCCACCACACTGTTCCAGATATTTGGCATAATGGAGGACAATAAATGCTCCTGCCTTCACTGGAGCTTATAGTCTACCAGCAGGAATAAACAATAAGCAATCAATGAGGCAAGTAAATTCTAAAGATTAGATAATACATGTTTGCAAAAGGAAAGGGGCAAGTTGCCACATGAAATAAGGTGAACAGCGCCAGCCTCCATGAGAAGAAAGCTTTGAGCAAAGAGAGGAGATTAGGTTAGCCAAATGCTCACTTTGCTTAAGGGGCTGACAGAATGAGCAGTCAGAGTAATGCACTTTCCCATCAGCAGAACTACCTGCCATTAGCATGAGGGTAGAAAAAATGAGTCCAGGAGTCTTGGCAGACAATGGCCAAAGGCGTCAAGATTTCTCAGATGTGAATAATGTAAATAACAAATAAGCTGTAAAGGCAGAAAGTGGGATGAGCCAGTCCACCCTTGTGTGTCTGGGCAGTCCAAGTAGAGGGGTCCCAGTTACAGCTCTGCCCTGAGGTGGGAGAGACAGCAGAGGGCAGGAGAAGGTATTCTGTGTCTCATGTCTAGATTTCATCTTTCATCCCTGCTTTCTAGCACAATATAGGGACTCAGTTCATGCTTCCAAATGACTTTCATTCCAATATCACAAGATTAGCCAATAAGCAAATTCAATTCTACCCACAGGCTAGGTATGCCTAAGAAATCTGTATACAAAAGGTAAAGGCAGTAGACACAGATTTTTAAATTAGTTTTTGAGTCTCGTCTCCCTCTCCAAAACTTCACAGCTTTATCTCCAAGAATATATGAGAAAAGCAGAAAATTGGGTTCTATCATAGAAGGAAGAGAACCTCTCAGAGTCTACTTTTGGACAGAGTCATGACAACTTTCTTTTAAAAAGAGAAAAGATGGTAAGTTTCAGCAGGATTCCAGGGAACCTGACTAGCATGGAGGTAGTCATATTTACATCAGGGCCCGTGATAGGGGTGTGCTGGCTGGCTACAAGATGCTTTCTCAAGAGACCTCCATTTGTTCTTACACCTCAGGGGTAACCTTCTAAACGAAATAAAGATAATCAAATGCAAGAAGCAAGTTAAGTCAGGTATGGGGAGTCAAAAAAAAAAAGGGTTAGAGAATTCAATTAAAATAAGGAGAGAAAAGAACTTTTTATCATTCATACAATTTGTCACTGCAAAAACTTCTCAAATGAATATTCACTTAAACCTAAGAAATCAGAGTCCCATAAGTTCCAACATTTGTCCTTACAAGTTCTTTCCATACCAATTTGACATGCAGCTAGAAGGGGTTGTTGAATTTTCATTCCATAGGAATCACATTTAAATGAGAATACAAGACTAACATTTCTAGAAAAGTTAATGCTTAGCTCTATACTCCTCTCAACCCTCCTCCCCATACTGCCTTTTCTACCTTTCAGTCATTACTAATATTTCATTTATATTCAGATCTGCTCTAATACTTCAATGTACATTATCATGGGTCACTTTCTTGAACTGTGCTAAAATATTTCATTTTATCCTACCTTTCCATGTATTAAAAAGAAAAATGAGAAAGCTGTTAAGAATCTCAATTGTTGCCACATTATATGAAAAAGAAAGTAGTATAAAATAGTGGAGGACCTAAAAAGAGAAAATGATTTTTTGTATAAGGAAAGACTTGTTTGTCTGTGTACTATATTCAAAAGAGGTTACACCTCCTTCGGTAGTCATCAAATGCAGTGTTGCTGTGGATTTTTACAAAATCTTTTTGTCACTAATCTTGACAAGGTACCACTTTTTCCACCTTTTAAATAACCTTATCTAGTTCCAAATCTCTGCAATTCTGGGACAAATTAAATGATATTTTCTTTTTGATTAATCTAATTAAGGAAGTGTTTCTAACTTAAAAAATAGTCAAACTAAAAATCTGTAATGGTGAAGAAAGACAACTATGTATCTACTCTTTCAATCTGCTAAGTGAAACTGCAAGAAGCATACACTGTGCATCCACACAGAGTCAGGGTGTTTTGAATCAATGAAAAAAAGAAAAATAAACTTCTGCTTTTGAAGTGTATAATAAAAGATACTAGTTGAATATTATGTTTCCCTTTTGGGTCAGGTAAGGGAGGGAAAAGGCACTTCCTTCCCTTCAGGTAACTTTAGCAAATCTTTTGAGTATTACAAAATAGGTGCTAAAAGGCATCTATTTATCCTTATATTCTGCTTCATATTCTTGTTACCTCATTCATTTGTGCTGGAATAAGCCATCATTAAGGAGGTATCAGAGTATCGGAATCTTTTGCAGAAATACATGGTGATTCCCCTGTCAGCTCTGCACAACATGTACCCACTGCAGCTGGGCCCACCTGTTTCACACACACCTTTCCAAACCTTGCCTGATCTTCGGAAAAACAATTACACGAGGAACAAAAGTGCCTGAGGTTTACTAGTGAGGAAAGGAGTATCTGGCAAAGCATATAACAGCAAAGCTGAGCAAGAAGCTGGGCTCCGGGTGAAGCAGAAGAATCTTCAATGAACAGCTGTGCACAAAGTCCCGGTGTGGACCAGTTCCAATAAATACCGAGTGGCTTCTGAATCAAGGTGGTTTCCAGTTAAGAAAGTGTTCGGTGATTTTGTTTTTCTCATGAAGGCCAAGCATACACTGGCATTAACGTGACACATGACATTGCCCATGAAGGGACACAACTCCCTCGCCAGCTACACTAACAGAGGGATTGGGTTTCAGCTGCAGCTACAGCGTTTCTGGGGAGAAAATCAAGATGTAGATACCAGGTTATAAAAACGATGGTTTCATCTGTGCTGAGGTTTGTGGTCATCTTACTACATTTTTTTCATACAAATCATATTAATGCTAAATATACTAGACTTACCCTCTTCTTTCCCAAAACGATACTTTCAATAGGTTAGTATCAATTACAAAAATAATGCAACAGATATTGAATTCAAAGGAAATAATAGTTTTTAAAGACATGAAACAGGTTCTCGGATACCATTTTCCTATTTTTAAGACAACTCTAACCCATAAACACACATTTCTGGCATATAATCATTAACCAAGATTTTACATAACATATATAAATTCCATGAAAGTCGCCACAATGAATTCTGTCCAGAGCATCACATGCCAAACCAAATCTAAGACCATTTTTCCTCTAAAAAATAAAACAAAGCGGGGCTGGAGAGGGAAGTCATTAAGCCATCACTCAATACTGACCTTGTTGCTCACTGTCTGCTTCAGTTTTCGAAGAACCTGGTGCCACAGGGAGGGGTCGAGGTGGTCGGGGCTTTGGTGTGGGAGGCGAGATTTTTTTCCTTCCAATATATTCTACATAGGTTCCTGGAAAGTCACCTCTCTCCCCTGTGGTTTCATTATAGCCATTTAACCAGCCAATTTCTTCAGGTCTGGCTTCCTGTCCATCGCTGAATCCAAGAGCTACTAAAGACCCTTTATTCACAGTCAATATGTCACCCAAGTGCAAGTCAATATCTTCCTCTCGCTCCTTTTTATAATCGTACAGCGCTCTGTACTGGTACCCTTCGGCACTCATGTTTGTGGATCTGTGACCATGCACCAGGCGAGTCTGGTTACACGCCGCAGCCTTACTTTACGTTTCTATGAACAGTGAATTCAGAGGATGTAGTAAGATTCCTAATGTGTGTCCGGCAGAAGACAAAGGACAGCTCTCCACAGGTTTAAGAGGAGAGGCGACTGGCCATCCGGCTGTCCATCTGTCCTCCATCAATGGTATGACTGAAGTCAGGACTCCACTTCCTCTGCGGGCCACAGTCTTCCCACTGGTTTGCTTTTCAGCAACTTGTCAACACTTTGACTCCGGGCTGATTCTCACAGCGAGGCCCAATCCTTTCCGACACTCTTGTCACACTGTCCATCTGTCGTCTGATTTTACTGCTGCACTCCACGCACGAGCTTCACCTAGCAAGGGAAAGACAAGACTTATGAATGAACGTCACACTTTGCCATCTGTGTGGATTTGAATTTCTACTTTCATTCAACAAGTACTTAATCAATTTGGCAGAATTACACAGGCTAGCGTGCTATTGCTCGACACGGTATACACAGCAAAGATTAGTAAGACAGTCCCTGCCTTCTAAGAACACTAGGCGGGGGCGGGAGGGGTGACGGCATGTGGCAATGTCTTAGAGATAAACCTGGCACACGAGAAACCATAACACTAGGTGATTGCCACAGGAGAGACAGAGACGAAACACTGGGGTGCACACAAAAGGGAGACCACATTAACTGCAGGAAACTAGAGCGTGAATGGAATATGTAGCCTGACCTCAGGTACAAATGTGACTAAGCCAGTACTGCATTCTAAGAAAAGCTAGAACAGGCTGTCCAATCTGTATGAAGTCAAAGAGGGAAATCTGGATGGTGGTTAGAAAGCAAAGTAAAGGCTGGAGGACGTGTTGAGTTTGTGAGAAATTGAGTCTACACTGAAGAGCCAATGAAAGAGTACAAAGAAAGGAACAATGGGGTCAGAGCTGCACTTAAAAAATCTCCATCTAACCATGGAGGGCCAGAGGGGCTGGTGGAGGGATAGAAGTGTGGACGAGAGCAGTGAAAGGTGCACTGCAGTGTCTGGGCAAACAGCCGCAGGAGGAGATCCACAGTGGGAGCAGAGGGTATAGAAAGGGAAGGGACATGGTGGAAGGGATCAGCATTTGCTGATGGGTAATATGCCTGAAAATGTGTGATCTATACCTCTAAATCATATGCAGTGTTGTAAACTATTGTTATCTCAATTATAAAAATGTATTAAAGAATTTATCTGCCACTAACAGGCAAAGGGAAGCCAGAAGGCCTGATGTATTTGAGGTGGTACTAGACCCACAAATGCCTGTAGGCTAGTGGGTGGCTGGAAATCAGGTCTGTGATTGAAGAGGGGGAGCAAGGTCAAACTCAATGGAATTGAGGGACTCACAGGAAAAATACTGAAATTTCTAAGGCTCAAATGCAGCGCTTTCATGAATGCAACTGAGAGGGGACAATCAAGAGTTGGGGGCAGTGAGATGTCCTAGAAACAGGGGATAAGAGGGGACAGGTGGGAAAAGGTGATGCCTCTCCTCCTGAAAAGGTCTCCGGAAGGGAAAAATTGAAGCAAGACGAAGAAATTTGGGGCTCTGTTCATCACAGGTTGTCACTGACTTCTGAGCTATGAGATTCCAGTCTAGTAGTAATGAGGACAATAACTTGAATTTTCAGAGTTCAGAACCACGGATACTCTGTGAAGATAGCTCAACAGAGAGGGTAATGAGTAAGTTATTTCATTTTTCTAAAACATATTGGAGATAAAGCAATTAAGTGTTGGAAACTCTCTTAAGTTTAGGGTTAGAAAGTCAGTGTGTACAGCTGATAGAAAGAAACGTCTCCACTCAGACACACTTTGTACCCCATTTGTTTCCCAATATTAAGCAACCTAAAGGTGTCAGGTAAGCTGCTGAACAATAATGCAATAAAAACACCAGCCACACAATTTCAGCGCACTATATCAAAGAGAGCTTTATAAATTTTAAGGAGCGGGACTCTTCAGAAGTTTAATATTACAGGCACTTTTCGGTGTAGGCATCTTAAGAAGCAAAATCTAATCACAGATTAATTGTTAAGTTGGCATTCAGAAGTGTAAGGTATTCAACTTTACATGGTTAAAGCCTCTTAGCTGTAACACAATAACACTTTTAGGAGAGTTACATATTAAAGGAAACAAAACAAACACTGGAAATCTCTGTGTAGCAAGAATATTAATTTGGTATTCTACTTGAATTTCAGTCATCAGAGAAAAAAATTAAAGCAACCAGCACAGAATATGAGAAAAATAAACTATATTATGTTTGAAGACAGCCTTTCCTTTTGATAGATCCAGAATCAAATTAAATATTCACTGCATAAATTCACACAAAAATGTAGAACTAGCAAATCTCATTTTTAGTACTAATGTACTCTGTGCAAATGAGACACAGAACTCTAAAGAACACGGAAATTTACATATCCCTAAATGGCTGGAAACCAGGCAATATGCCTAAGAATAATTTAATTCCTCTAAATCTGCCTTGAAATTTTTGTTAGCTTTCCCTGGCAATATATGACTTTTTGAAAAAAGCTCTCAACTAGTAGGGCTGCGTACATCTTCATGCCAGCTGCTGCCCATCCCTGCTTCTATTTCAACAACCCAATAGGTCAGTTTGGTTAGATTCTTAACAAAATGGGAGCCCATGGCCTCTCCCCCTCCCTCTCTTCTACACAGCCTCCATGGCCACCAAGCCCCTCCTCACCGCACACCTGGGCAGCTATGCATGTTCCTCACCAGGGACATAGGAGTCCACATCTGTCAAGGTTTTACAAACCTGAAAACTGCTTACATCTGAGGTTAAATCTGTGCAAAGGAAAAAACAATCCCAAGGAACCTGATGACTTTAATGGGGCCAGACTCTAGATCAGCAAAGCTGGCCATACCTGCCAGAGACCTGATGTCTCTACATATTCTCTTTCCCTCACCAGTTGTAGGAAAGACATTATTTTCTATTCAAGAATCCTGTGCAGAAGACTGAGTTCTCACCTGATAAGAAGAACCCTAGTTCTCCTAAGACTATAAGATTTTTAAGCCAAACACCCTATTTCTGTCTTCTGAGACTCCACAATCAAGGCCAGGAAGGGAAGACCAATCAGAACAATTCAAGGTCAGCCATGATTCAGGGCCAATGTTTTAAGAGTAAAGGGAGAGCTGACTAGTCCTTGGGGAGGTGACTGAATTTCACAGGGGTGAGGTACTGAGAGGCCCTGGTTAGGGAGCACACACTTTCTCCTGAGCCACAGCCATTTTAATGACTGTCATTATCATCATCACCTAATTCCTAAGGGGAGCTATAATTACATTAACCAGTTCAATTATCATCATCCAATATTTATGGGAAGCTCTGTGTTTTAACATGTTCAACATTCCAGATAACCACGCGGCAGTTACCATCAATAATCTCACTTCACATAGAAGGAAACTGAGACACAGAAAGGTTAGTACCTAGGCTATGATAACACTAAGGAATTGAGAGGTAGGACCAGAATTCAGATCCAGATCATCTGGCTCCAGGACCCCCACTTTTACCACCACAAGAATCGACAGACCAAAATCAACTATTAGCAAGGCTCAAGAACCACCCAGAAATGTCCATGGGGGTTAATGATGCAGAGTCCCTGCCTGCACACTCTGACTTCTCTCATTAGCTGAGAATGTCTGGTTTTCATGCTCTGCAATAGCAGCCCTACTGATTGTATTTGTGGCTCTTCACAATCATACCTGCACAAAAAGAACAAAAGAAAAATAACTGGGCAATATAGTTCTGTCAAGTACCAGACTGGGTATCTAGGACCATGCAACTTTTCTTCCAAAGGAACTTCATTAAAATGCATCCTTGCCAAAGGAGTCCATAAACTAGTGAATAAAGGAATACTGGGCACATCACTTTTGGAAGGCTGCCCACTTCTGGAATTCTGCCCATTTCTGTTCTAAGGATCTTAAGCTTTTGCCACCTGTATCCCTCTCGGCATCTCTGCTCCCTGCTGCTATCCCCGGCTCCTTACTGCACAATTTCTAACAACTTGGCTCCTTTTAGGGGGATATGTGAAGCAACAATCCACAGTCAAAAGGGCTCTCACAGTTAGAAGACTAGCTAGTTCCCTTTTCTCTCACCCTCAGATTCCCTCCAGGACCTCAGAGACTCAGTAGCATGAAGTGTCAGTAGTGCCTGGGTAACTCCTGAGATCACCTTGGATCCTGAATTGTCCAGATTGATAGGATATATGTTGCCCACGTTCTACAAGATTACAACTTCAATCTCTGTGGCTATCCACACCTGTCCATTGCTCTATTTCCACCCAGCCCAACAAAATTATTCAGTTTTTATTAATATTCACCACCCACAAATTAATGTTTCCAAAATATCAAGGCAGTTTTATGACATAGGTTCCAAGCTAGTTACACACACACATTAGTGTAACCAAAGGCATAAAGGAATCCTACCAACAAATAATGAGTTAACTTCATCTTATATCACCTGATATGCAACAGTCCAAAATTTCCTTAACAGGAATTATTTTGTGCCAGTCCTTTTAAAAGTCTCTTTTAAAGACAGCCTGCAATAGCATTGATCAAAAGTATATTTTTTCTCCTTGCTAAGACACTGAGCAATCCTTATTCTGTTCCTCATATTAAAGTTGTTTCTGATGCAATCCTTGACTTCTAATGTACAACTGTTTGAAAGTAAATTTTCAATTTAACCCTCGAACCCGGAGGCATTTTGGCCAAGACCCAAACAAAATTCTTTGAAAAGTCCCCTGACTTTGTTGGCTTATTCATTCCCCTTTTACAAAGGACAAAGATTGAGTCAACTTGGTCAGGAAGCAAGAAGAAAGGATATTTTAAAATCACTTTAAATAAGTTGAGAATATATCCTGGTGATATGATTCTATCCTGCAATGAAATGAGCAGTTTGGCACTGGGTGGCAGCACCAAATAGGTCTCAGATGAGAAGGTTATGGAAGGGGGGAGGGGAGACCCAGTCCATAGTGTTATATTCTACATTCTGTCTCTCCACCCTCAGTGTGCTAGCTGAGTCGAGTGCAAGCCTCCCCATCAAAATTTGCAGTCTTAAAAAAAAAAAAATCATTATTGAATTTTTTTTCACCTTTCAAATCTGATTTCCTGGAAATTGTGAAAATCAAATTGAAAACTACAATGTCCTAGCAAACATAATGAATTATTTTCAATTTAAAATGATGGGCTCATGGTAAATATTATGGTATGTGAATTTTATCTTAATGAGAACAAAATGATATGCTCAGATTAAGCCCAAAGGCAAAGACATCATATATTTTCATTCATTTTCAAGCCAACCAAATAACCAGAATGTGTTGCCCTC